CGTCATCGGCAAAATCAGCCCACCGGACACAGGGCGCGATGGGGGCGGCGGCCACGGGCAGCGAGAGAGCGGCCGGAGAGGGGGACAGAGCCGTGGGCGCCGGGGCGGGACACCCGCCGGAGGGAGCGGCAAGGGCGGAGGGACCGTCGCCAGGATCGCCAGAGCCAGCAGGCGCCATCCAGGTCGACAAGATGCGGTGTTATCTTCGATAGGAGTAGGACTTTTCGTCGTTATCATTGCTCTCAACACATACGAGCGTGTTTCGCCAACGAAACGTGGTTAAGCAGAAACAAGAAACATAGCAGCAACATTGGTGTAGGCTGTAGCCAGTAGGGCAGGGCCAGGATGAAAAGGGTGCACATAACAGCAACGAGTACAATGATTTTTTTGAAAAGAAGCAACGAGTACAATGAAGGGAAGCGCTGTGTGTGCTGCTGTTTGGCCGGTGGCAGTGAAGCGTCGTGCTGTTTGGCCGGTGGTGTGCATCTGGTCACAAGACGCCAGCGTAAACGTCAGGCAAGCGCTGCTCATGCCAGTCAAGGAGACAAGAGATACATCGGAACATTATTGTTCAGCATGATGTTTTTTATTCTTCTAAATTCGAGCTCCTTAGGACTCCAATCCATTAAATAAACAGAATAGTATTTTTTTTTGTTAATTTGTGGAAACCAGAGCCAAACAGCACACTCATAAGCACATCTGCCAACCTGGCTACCCATAAGACCCACACACATCATCGAGGAGAGGACGCCGTCGAGGTTGTCTACAATGTCATCGTTATCACTTCTCCGTGAGCAAGAGCCTCTTACTTCACCGCACTTGACCCCTCTCCATCTCTTCAAACAGTGACATACGAGAATTCGCCAGCCTGCCAAATGACCGACCAAACACGTTTTTTTTTTTTGACAGAAAGACTGTAAGAGAACCCCCTACAGTATAATTGGTGCAACAAACCCAAATTGTAAGTACCATGCCTTGAACCTGGGTGGGTGGGAAAGCATCAGCCCCTTCCCACCACTAGGCTATGCCTTAGTCTGCAACCGACCAAACACGTTGAAGGCCAGGCAACTCCGACTTAGCATATGAACAGAAGGGCTGCATAATAATCAGAAAAACTTCAGCATAAAACTCAATCAGCAAAACTTTTGTATCAAACTTAGGTGCATGCCCACTTCTTCTCCTTTGGTTCTCTCATCCTCCTAGCTTGGTATAGCCATATACGCCAGCCATTACCCAGTCTGGCACCATCTCTCCTATCCGCCATGGTGAAAGCTTTCGATTGCCTGAAGAGCATCTTCAGGTTTTTACTCTGGCATCTGTTCGAGCACCTTGCGAGACTCGTCCAAACAGTGCCCTGGCCCTGATCACCATGCAGAACTGCATCATAGTAGTTGGGGCTGATGGAACAGTCAGGAGCATGATTAAGGGCAAAAATAAGAATACAGTGAGAGCCATGGGCCTGAATTATGGTCAAATGTGTAAAGAACACTTAAAGAGTTAAGACAATGAAAAAATGAGCTGGAGCGATAACTGAGAGCTAGAATAAGGTTGTAGCGTGAACATGTACTTGGATAAATGAGTCGCGCATTTTTAAAATATATAAAATAGTATATTCAAATCACAGAATAATACAAATGTATAAATTCCATAAACATTGAAGAGAAGCAATCACATAAACCAAAGCCCACTCCAATATGCAAATCGACTAATGAAGTGTGAACATGTTGCTGCCTTCCATACTAGCCACCAATTCACCATCCTGAGTAACAAAAGTACAAAACCAAAGGCAACTGTTGACTTCATTGAAAGAAATCAACGTCTCAGTCTCATTCAAATATGGCGAGTAAATAGCATAAAACTACTACTTTACAGGCTAGGGTTTCAAAAAACTACAAGTTTTTAATTTTTCTCAGATACCTACCAAATGGGTGGTCGGCTGTTTCAAAAAACCCAAAATATCGAGTGATTTAAAGTTGATCGCGATTATGACACGTCGGGCCCGCACCTAAACGATCTGTCTGTTTGACCGTTAGGTTGACCGTTATCTTACAAGTGGGGCCCAAATGTCAGTGTCTCTTCCTTCTCTCCCTCCCCTGAACTCTCTCTCTCTCTCTCGAGCACGAGCAGGATACACACCCCCTCCCGAGCCGGCGACTCTGTCCTCTCCCAAGCCGGCAACACCCCTCCCCGGCCTCCCTCTCTCCTCCGCCGCCGGAAGCTAGCAGCTCGCCGCCGCCAAAAGCCACCAGCTAGCCGCCGCCGGAAACGACCAGGTCCAACGGCCAGATCGACCGGGGCGCCGCCGAAAGCCACCACACGCCGCACCAACTTGGTTGTGGCACCGGCAACGGCGGACACGCGCCGCACCAACTCGCGAGGCGGGGCTTGGCGGCTGCAATTAGCAGCAGCAGAGGCCGCCGCGGCTCGGTGGCTGCCAAGGAGCAGCAGAGGCCGCCGCGGCTCGGCGGCTGCCAAGGAGCAGCAGTAGCGGCCGTCTCTCCGGCCAAGGAGCAGGAGAGGGCGTCCTCCAGGTGCGTGGCGGCGGCATGGAGCACAGCATGGCGCGGCGGCGGCCATGTACAGGGACCCGATGGCTTTTTTAGAAAAACTACAGGGACCCGATTGCTTTTTCAGAAAAACAGCAGGGACCCGATTGCTTTTTAGCAATGTTTATAGGTGTTGTTTTGTAAAAGGTGAGGACATATTTGTAAATTTGGAAAAGAACCGGGGGATTGAAGATTTTTTTTGTTTGAATATGAGGTAGAGACACTGACATGTGGGCCGCACTTGTAAGTTAACGGTCAACCTAACGGTCAAACAGGCAGTTCGTTTAGGTGCGGGCCCGACCTGTCATAATCGCGATCAACTTTAAATCACTCGAAGATTTGGGTTTTTTGAAACTGTCAACCACTCGCTTGGTAGGTATCTGAGAAAAATTAAAAACTGGTAGTTTTTTGAAACCCTAGCATGTAAAGTAGTAGTTTTATGCTATTTACTCAAATATGGCGTACCTTTGGAAAAAGCAAAGCAATCACACCACCGGTCATGATCATCAATCCATCATGCCTTGGCAACCGACAGAGTCAGCATAGCTAATCCGGCATGCTCTTCCTGCAGCAAGCTTGTGTCCAAGCTCCAGCGCCGCTCCGCGATCCTCACAAATTCGTCCATCACATCTTCGAAATGTTGCACGACTATCTGTTCATACACGGCTCTTATCTGGTTCGCAATCCAGCTTGGGGTGACGAGTGCACTGTCCAGGTCGCTTAAAAAGTCATGCACCAGAAACTCCTTGATCGAAAAGGACCCCTCTTCTTGGATGATCTCCCTTAGATCTTCCTTCGAAGGCCCATAAACTGGCAAGTAGAAAGAATCAAACTTCGCCTTGTCGATTACACCCTATCAATCATCACGGAAGATCAAATACTCATGCCTTCGCAGGTAAACGATAAAACTCTATGCTAGAAAAACTAAGAAAATGTACCTCTGAGGCCATAATACTTAGAACCTGAGCAAGAATGTCCCAGATGTGAAAGGGGGCGATGCCATCAGAATGCCTTCCTATAATGGAAACAACCATCTGCCCTCATGTGACTAATTCTTTGGCTCTCAGTTCCAGGAAATGTCTGAAATCCTTCCTGAACTGCTGTGCATAGGCTTCAAGGACCATAGGGAGCTTTTCACGCCTAGCATGCTCATTGATGTAGTAAGCCGGGATCTGGTTCCTTGTTAGAACTTCAGGAGCCTGTGAAGATAAAGGTTTTGATTAGAAAATTGGCAAGTTAATGCAATGGATCGATCCATCAAGCAGTGTCACACTCATACCTTTGAGAGCCAGTGCAGGCTACTGGACGAGCACACAAGATGCACAGTGCTACCAGTTAAGAGCCTCTCGTAAAACGACCCCGGTGCAATACCCGTCACGATAACAGGGCCATTGATTCGACGGAGTGTTGAACTCGTTGTCAGGCAGGTCGTTGAGGAACACACACAGTTCCGGTGGTGGCTGCTGAAACTGAAGACAGTAACCGTGGATCACCTCAACAGCGACCGAAACCAGTGCCAGCGCAATTGGGCCAGAGGAGCAGCCCAAGTCCGCGATCACCATCTTGTCAGGTAACAAGGTGCTGCTGCTGCTGCTGCATAAGTCTATGATGGCTTTTTCTATCAGGAGCTTCATCCTGTTCTGCTGAGAGTTCTGCAGTCGATTTGAACTTCTTCAGAAAATCTAGTATAATCTTTCAGCTAAATAGCATGCTTCTTAGCTTCCTAATTTCTTCTTTGAATTTCAGGAATATAGTAATATTATGAACTACCCCCAGAAAAAAAGTATATTATGAACAAGTTCCTAAGGCCTTGTACAATGGGAGGTGCTTAGAAAAATAAACCGAGTTTTTCTGAAGCATCGGTGCCTATTTCTACAGGAGAGATGCTTAGTTAAGCATCTACCCTGTACAAGTAAGCACCGATGCTTAAGGAAAGCCTGGTCTATTTCTCTAAACACCTCCCCTAAGCACCTCCCATTGTACAAGGCCTAATGGACAGTTTTGAGAAGCCAAGTGTCAAAGAATAGGATACCTGAATACCAAAGTTGCGAGCATAACTTTTTTCCCCTTGTCCTTGGTTCATATGCACCATCTTCTTGGAAGCCATGGCTTTGGTTAGAGCGAGGTTAACCTCCAGAAAACCTGATAGAACCAGGTTAGGAGGCCACTGCTAATGATGTACTTGAACCTCAGTTCTTATTTTCCTCTGCTAATTGGGGATGGCTGCTTATCAATAGCCACTGATTCAAAGCCTAAGTCAAATTCAACTACTGATAAGAATATGACAATAGTTTAACAACCCGTCACTGGTAGTGGTTATATTAGATCAGCAGACTTGTTAGTTTAATTTGGTTCCATTGAGTTGGCTATTCAACATGGAATTCAAGGTCAAAGAAAACATTTTAGAACAGCACAGACACATTTTTTCTGAAGCTGGTAGAAAAAAAAACGGAAACTCACAGTTTATTACTATTGAGAGTGGTATAATTTTTTTCTACAGTGGTTGCACAGTTGAGTTTTTTTTGTTAATTCTTAATGCTTCCATACGATGCTTGATGAACACAAGCAAATGCACACTGCATAGATAACGCAAATACATCAAGCAGACAAATAATGAACTACCATGTCATAATCTTCAAATAATAACCAGGGGAATGGTGCAGGACTGCAGGTGGTCAATGCTAACTATAGACATTTCATTTTTTGCCATTATTTGGTTAAGAAAGTTTTGGTAGCGTGTAAAGAATATTCATACTGCATAAAGTCGCCCAAGTAAAAGGACATCTATTTGAAGAAAAATAGAAAATATGAATGGGGTGGTATGAATCAATCAAGAAGCAGAGCTGAAGAGTGGTGTGAATATTTTGGTCAACTTTCTACCCTGTGGAAGGCACGGTCCAAAGTCTTTGATGTAGAAGGGTGATCTAATCATAATATCTTAATCAGGGTCTGATCATATCTTAATCACCTTACAATGCTGACCAGGAGTATAATCAACACGAGAACCATGAGCTCTCTTAAATAAATATTAAGAGATAATATCATGGCGAAAAGAAGTCATCACACATACAAAATCAGTAGAGGTCAGCTACAGCGCAAACATACAAACTGGAGAGAAAAACACATGTACCTGCATTACTAAACTGGGCAAACACACGTCAAAGCCTCCTAGTGTCAAGGCTACTACTATTATGGTTGACATGAAACAAAAACATTACTGTCAAACGCTTCTATAGATGGAAATACGAAGTCAGAGGATGTACCTTCCATCTCACGCAAAGGCATGTGGACAGCGAAAGAGCGAAGAAAATGAGCGGAGTAATTTGCAATCAATCACTGGATTCATATTTCTAACTTCGGGTTCCAACAGTCCAGTTCATATTAAAGCCATCTCTCTTATAGTGGAGAAGTAGTTTTCCATATTGCCATCAAACAAAGAAAGCACTACTAAATCAGCGACAATTAATATCGATCGGAGGGAGTAGTAAACTGGTACTAACACCCTTTGTTGTTATAGACAAACAAGGTTGAGAGACAACTGAGTCCAGGATTTGCAAAACACAAAAGAAGAACAAACCTGTATGTGCTCAATTAGTCTGTCACACTCTGACGACCACCAGTTAACTCAGGGAAGCTATCCAAGAATGCACGTTTTTACAAACCAGCAACACGAGGAGTATTGGCCTAGAACGTCAAGACTGGATGCGGGTAACCACAAGTAGTCTTTCACAGCCTGCACAATCAGCCGACGTGGATCCACCTACAAGCATAAAATTCAGAAGTGAGCTATCATATTCAGACTGTCAAATATTAGATTCAGACTCCACAAGCGTATAGCCTTATATTGGATAGAGAAATTATGTGTCTATGCGTGTTCGATCATACGGACTACAGTTCTTATCTGTTCTCCTTTTTTACAGACTGGGGTTAATTTCATCAGTTTCTCCCTTGCATGTACCAGGTAACAGAAGATGTTCATAATCTAAAGTAAAAGCATAATAACCTTGAACTTAAAATTGGAACCAGCAAGTGCATCCCAACAGATGTGTAGATTATTCAAATAAGTATCATGATGACATCTTTTGATGAGACAGTGGAGCTTATATTGCTTCATTATCTTAGGTTCCCTGTATTCCATAAAGAACCCAATGACATGAAACAATATTATGATTCTGTTTTGTAGAAAAATATGGTAGTAAAGTTGAGAGAAGTGCATAACTACCACCCAGGAGCAGGATAAGTTACAACAAGAGATGGTAAGTATGACTTCATCACAGAAGCATGCATATTCTTTTTTTTCCCTTTTCGTATGATCAAGCAGCATGTAGGAAAGGTATGATGATAAAACACGGAATTCTGTTTTGTAACGAAGGAACAGAATATCCTTCTCTGCTTTGTAAAACCAGGGGAGCTATATATACCACTGAGTACAGAATGGTCAAGCCTGGCTCGAAAGCTGTGGATCCATTGCTGTTCTGGAAAATGGATGGGAGCTATACATGCCATTGGTAAAGAAAGAATGCTGGAGTTGATAGTTTTAACCCTTAACTTGAAAGAAGCACAGAAATCCAAAACTGTAATTCCATAAATCTTACCATGAGGGATTACAGAGATGTTCAAAACTGTCTTCAAAACTAAGGTTTGCACATAGGTAATCATTCAATGTTTATGTTGCACTGTAATTCCATAACTGTCTTGTTGTTACTCCTGGCAACAAATGCTATGCCTCATATGATCTGCAGACGTTCCCACAGGAACATCACCAACTAGGACTGGGTTTGCAAATGGACAATACAGTAGAAAGCAAAAAAAAAAACATAATTAGCAGGCAGTGGAACGTTGGGGTGCAACACAAACATACAGGTCTGTTTAAAACATCCAGTTCCATTAACATCTAATCCAGTACCCAGAATAACTTGTCACTGACTCAAAACACAGCTAACAGATACTGCACTTGCTTTCTCTAAGACATGCATTTTTTGCTCCCACACACTCAGCTGCTAGAAATTAAATGCAGCTCACGCTTCTTTGATCCTCGACCTTCCTCCTCTTCCTGATGCATTACATGTTTCAAGCAAAACAGACGAAGAATAAGGATGGAGACAATTAATGGTGATAAGGTCAAAACAAGTGAAAAGACAACTAGTTGTACAACAAAGTCAAATAATTATCACGCAGCAACCAAAAGTAAAAAATGATCAGAATTGTTCCAGCAATACAGATTGAATGCCAACTAAAGCATACAAGATGGTCACAGAAGAGGGTCTCATTGAAAGTCTAACCACTAAAACAGAGAGGGTGAAAAGAACATCAACCAGGTACCATACTGTTGTTAGGTTGGATGATTATACCATTGTCGTATAAGAGGAAGAACTTCATAGTCGTATATCTGAATCAGAAGAGACGCATAAACACAAGCATGCCATTGTAAAATGCACGATTCATAACTGACATCCGTGTGAGTGATAGTGTGCTCCAGCAAAACCCTTAATTCTATTATACGGCAACATTCTGAAAAGTATTAACAATCTAAGACATGATAGCTTGAGGATCACAGTTGTAAAGCAAACACCCATTCCTCTAATTTCTCAACTTATTCCCAGTTCCTTCATTTTCCTTCTCAGCATGCCGACCAAGAACCCTATGCACAGGGGACACCCTCATCCTCCTATTAGATATGTCTCATCTATGCTTCTAAAGCGACCACACAAAACAAAGTACAATAACATCACACAAAGGACAAAAGACAAACCTTGCAGGATCATCCTTGAGCGCAGGGAATGTGGGAGGCCAGATCATCATAAAAGGACGGATAAAACCCAACCACTGAATCTCGCTTGTCCTCTCATACACTTTATACAGCATCCTGCACTTGATATCCAAATAGAGTAGGCATGGACCCATCTCCAAGAAAACAAACTCAGCATTGCGCCCCACCTGCTTCATCCACACCTCATGTGTGTGATCAGGCATCCTCCATTTAGCACACATCTCACGCAAACATATGGTATCCACCAGCAAACAGTTATCCCCTGTGTGCAGCCAGATGCAGAGCTGAAGCTCGTCCAAATGAATGAGATACATGCCAGAATCATCATCTGCGCTTGACAACATGGTTCGTCTGTCACTGATAACAAGCCCTTGTGGAAGCTGAAATGTGGAGGAACTTAAGGCTGTCAAATCCAAGACAAGAATTTCGCTCTGGGTGGACGCCATATAGATTTTATTGCCAACAAGCAGACGATTTAGTTCCTGTGGCAGACAAGGGAGCTGCGTCGTTGCCGAGGCATGCACACACCAGACACCATCTTGCAACATATACATGTGTACCGTAGATTTTGTTCGCTCCTTAGAATATTCCATCCATACATAGAAGTAGGACAAGTCATTGCCGCATTCTTTGAAAAAGAGTTCACTGAAAGTGCAGAAATAGCCATCTTGGAGTTTGTGTTGTGGGTATGGTGGGATGACGACCATGCCCCTCTCAGGGCAGAGCAGGCTGAGCACTATATTTTCTGATCCGGGTTCTCCAATGTTGTTCTTGAACGTGTTCATGAAGACGTTGCCATTGCAGCAGTCCAAGATGATTTTACGTGTGTTACTGCAGGCATCCAGGATGGAGCTTGCAGAGCGGATGATGGAGTTGAACTCTGGAGGGTTTGGTAGCATCGGCATGAAGCATGAGCTGTTACAAAACTTACCGGAGTCGACATAGAAGCCAAGGAGGTGGGGCGGGTGGAGCTTGCGGAAGCGGCAGAGGAAGGCGGGGTCGGAGGCGTGACAGAGCCAGCGCTTGCAGACGAGAGCAGCGCGGACGAGGGTAGTTGGATAGCCGATTAGGAGGAGGATCTCGATGAGTAGGTTGTCGTCGCCGAGCACCTTGGACACGGGGTCAGCCGGCGTCGCAGATTGCCGCAGCCTCTTTCCATTCATACACGAAAAGTTGGGAGCGGGATCGACCCTGAAACAGCAGCTGCCACAGACAAATGCCATCAACGGAAATGGGTGAGGTTAATAGACTGGTTGTTAATAACAAATGCCAGAAACGGGATCTTCATTCAGTGTGGTTGCAAATATCAGCACACAGATAGAACACAAACATACATGATACATCCATCCATCCATCCAGCAATAACATACAGATAGTTATGAAGAGGGAAACTGGACGTTACCCGTGAGTAACCTCGGCTGGATCCATATCCTATCCACCTCCCCCCTGTTGCGGCACCCTCTTTCCTCTCCTCCACTGTTGCGGTGAGGGAAAGTTAGGGTTTGTGAGTGGAAATCAAGCTAGGGTTTTCGGCAAGAGAGGAAAGTAACATAAAGGAATACTAATTATTACTAGGGGATGGAGAAGGAGAGGAAGGGGATGAGATTTGCTGACCTCGAATCTCTGGTTGCTGCCGGGGACGGGGAGGTCCGGGGTCGCCGGCGGCGCCAATCCTCCTTTCTCTCCGGCCGCCGCTTTGCTGGAGTGGAGACTGGAGACTCAAGTGGAGAGGGGAGCTAAGTTTTTCCTTTTCGCTTTAGGAAATTTGGAGAGCGGAGCACTAACGTTTGTGCAGCCCACTAACCCTTTATGGTTGGTTGGCCCACCCAAGACCGGTCCAGTCTGTGTCAGCTAAGAAGCCTATGTATCTACTGGCTTTGCTGAGACCGCATAGCCTTCTTTTTTTTTTGCTGAGACGTCCACAGTACAATAGTGAAGCATCAAATGAATATTGTCATTTATTTAGTTTATTAAATATACAGAGGCATCAAAATGATTGTTTCACTCGAAATCACAAGTTGAGTCTGACTGAGCTAAGCACTATCGATCTGTCACACTACCCCATATGGATCAAAATAATCTGCAATTGAGTTGAAACTATACTTTACTTCCATCATATACATAATAAAACATTGGAAATCCCCGCAAAAAAAGGAAAAAAGAACCAGTAATCAGAAATATCCAAAAGGGGCGTGTTGACCTTACTAACTATCAATATTTTCCTCTTTCGTCTCTCAAAGGAAGATGGTTGAGTCAATCTTCAAATTCGATAGGACAATGTAGGTTCCATAATATCTCCTAATCTTTTGAGAAAATTCTAAACAAAAATGTCTATTTGATCCCGTAAATTTCAAGGCTCAAGCAAGCATTTTAGTTGATTCCAAGAAAAAAAATATTGTGTGAACATGAGGCCAAAATTCACTTGATTTAGGGTGTGAACGTGAATAATAAGCAAACTTTGCAGGAAAATTAAATTGATTCTAAGCAAAATTTAGGCCTCGCGTTTATGGGATCCAATGAACTATACGTAACCAATTCAGGAAAATTTTAAGCAGCATAGACACAATCTTTTGTTTTTAGTGGCAATTGAGTGATAGCAGTAGAGTTTGCTTTAGTGTTTAAGTCAACCTGATTTAGGAATTGATATGAGACAACATTTATGGGATTCGGTGCAGCTTAACGCCTAAGCGTGCCTAAGCGCAGCCTTTTCCAATAGAGCGGATCAGTACCACCCTCAGCGACGGTCCTCATTGACAAAGAAAAATCATGGGCCAACCAAACAAGTGCTAGCAGCTGCACCAGGGCATCCATGGCTATTGCACATAGGTGCTGGTAGCCTCGCACCGCATGCCATCACTTGCTTATAGGTCACCCAAGGTGTCGGCTAGAGTATATATATAGTCAGTGGCGGAGCTAGTTGGGGGCCAACCTGGGCCATGCCCCCCCCTCCCGCAGCTGATAGGAAAACATGCATATAGGCCTTAATATTTGGTCTAATTTTTGAC